CTGAGGTGGATGTTGAAATGAAGTTCTACGTATGGAGAACACTGATGTGGTCTATTCCATTCATAAATCATGGTTGCTCATCTGGTAGAGTGAAGAAATCACAGTTAAAGTTGGTGAATTCGAATTACGGTAGAGTCCTTAGCCATATTTCGTGCTTCTGAGACAGATTACATTCTGTAGTGACCATCAAGTTGCAGAAATTTCCATCAAAAACAAACTGGGCACTCTTGACTGACGATGAGGATCATACCTCCTGTAAAATTCATTGCAAGTCATGCAACTGTGCAAGAGATCTGTATCAACCGGTAAAAAACTTTCTGTCATTGCTTTCCATTCTTTGCGAGGAACAACTTAAAAGGAATACGAGAATTGAATTCGGGTGGTAGAAAATAAAAATGTCTAGTGAATGTAACGAACAACAATTACATACCTAGTGACAAAAACCGCAATGAGCAAACATAACTGACAGTAATTATATTATGGCCATCTGTTCACGGCTTTCACAGTAAGGCACATACACTTAAATAAGGTTCGCACCATGAGAAGTGTGTACCATTACGAGAAACGGCCGACTGGCGAAAAATGGCAAATCTCGGTGTCAACCATTTGATAATAAGTCATGTGACATTGTTATGCTCAGCTGTGATTAGTCTTGAGGATGGCTGCAATATCTTCATCTTCCATCGCCGCTTCTCCTTTTGGGTCGCGGAGGCAGACGCGTCAGACAGAGCTTCCAACGTTCCCGATCCTGTGCCAGAGTCTGAGCTTGGGCAAAAGACAAATGAAGTCTGGAACAGATTTCTGGTTGCAATATTTAAAACTGAAATGCTGGTATACGGATCGTATTCGTATTCTCAGTCAATCAGTTTCCACGGGCACTTATCCTTTCGGGTCGCGAAGGCAGCGGCGTTAAACAGCGTCTCTAACGTTGTTTATCCTTACCAACGTCTGAGTTTCAGCGACAGTCTGCACTAACTCGTTCTTGGTCGTCCGCGAGGACTTCGGTCAGTCGCATATGATATTCATTTTCCCTCAAGCCAGATGTACGGTAGAGAAAATCGCGTTACTGCCATCAGCTGGCGCCTATCAACGCCTTCGGCGTGAGTTCTCATCAAGAACAGAGTAGCAGTTCTCGCTCGCAGCTGGACGACGTTTACGGTGCAGACTCATAAACATAACTAAAAATGAGGCACGCTGTTTCCTGTCAAGACAAGAGCCCGTTCAACGCGCAGCAGACGTCGTTCTCCCCAGCCAAGTAGACACGGTTCGAAGAATAGCTGTTCAGCACAGGATGGGTAATCATCAATAGCAAAGAAGCGCGTTAAACCGGAATTTCTGGCGTGAATTATGCGCGTGACCATATTAAAAACTGCAACAAATCTCTGCTACGAGTAAGACGATACAGATGGCCTCGATTTCTCGAAAAATGTTCGCGAAAACGAAACATCTGTGAAAACTCGAGCTTCGAATAACCGACTACTCGCCTAATAAACTAACCGCCACAATCCGTACCAAAATATTTCTTACTACCGGCGCTACAATGGCGAATAACGAAATCGCCGAATAAACGCTACCTGGTCCACAATCCACAACCAAATCATGCATCATATAGTTTAAAGTCACCCAGTTTCGTCTGTGTTGTCCAGCCAACGTTTTCTGTACTTCAAATCGGAAAGACCATCGACCGTTCAAGCTAGTCGCCGATAATCCATCGGTGCCCAGCGGAGAGTATTTAATAATCTAGTAAACATTTACAAACATTTTCATTTCGTAATCATAATGATAAGCTGTGTTATTTGACAATCACGAAACGAGTTACTTCCTCGACTCGGCTCTTTGCCAAGGCAAAGTCAAATGTCACCGAACGCGTGACGTTGGTTAAGTGGAAAACAGGGAGGGAAGCTGACAAACAAGCAGTCGCGGACAAAGTGATAGCACAGCTAGATGGTACAATGATGGTTAAATTGTACTGTGAACCCTGACAGCGGCACTGTCATCTGGTAAAGGCATGTTTCCCGTAAAAGCAGATGCTACCAATTCCGTGAAACTGATCGCAGATCCTGTCTCCGGTAAAGACGCTCCACTTCCTTCAAGTGAATTTGTCTAAATCGTTACACTTATTCACATCAGACTGCTCACAGTGTTACAAATGTTGAATGCCTGCGGACGGTCAGTTCCCGGTTCCGGCTTTTGATTCTCGAGCGCACGTGAAGACCACTGTGTGTATTTTATATTTTATTTACAACATGGGCTCTGCTCCACGCTGCATTACACTTAATACAATGATCTGACTCTCACGTATGGATGGCACCGGCCGGATATGGCTCTGTTCATCGTTCAGCATTAGTGTGCTTTGATATTTATTTTTTCAACTTATTTAAATTACCTATTAAAATTTTTCAGAAATGTATGCTGGGGAAACACGTGCCTTCCGTTTCAAACACGTCACGATACTCTTTCAGCCTTTCAGCTTTTCCATGGCTGTCATATTTCATATCGGATTACTCTGAATATTGTTATTCTATTAACAATCGACGTTTCGAGCCCTACTTGGTTGGTTGGGAAGGCCCAAGCATGGTTCGAAACGCCGGCAATTTCTGTAACAAGATCTGCATAAAATATAATCACGCAAGAAGCAAGAACAGTGGAATTAATTTCCCACGTAAAAGAATTATGCTCAATTTTCAACTAATTCAACTCCGCTTCACCTTCCATGATCGCTTCTCCTTTCGGGTCGTGAGGCAGACTCGGCAGACAATGCATCCAACGTCCCTGATGCTGTGCCAGAGTGTGAGCGTCGGCAGAATAGAGCCAAAGTTCGCAGCTTACTCCTTCAGTACAGTTGCCCAGGTTACTCTTGGACGTCCCCGGGCCTTCTGCTGGTCGGCCGGGCAAGAAACAGCTGCCTAGCCTTCATTTCTGAAGGCAATCGCAACGCCTGCCCAAACCATTGAAGCTGTGACTTCTCGATATGAAGAAGCAGCAGTTGTACACCAAGGTTCTCGTGGACTTCTGTAGTCTGGACTGCGTCGAAACGCGTAAGGCCAGCGGCGCGTCTCAGAAAGCCTATTTCAGCCGCTTGTAGCCGGATCGATGTTGTTCAGTTATGGGCATGTGAATGAACATCGAGTTGAGCACCGAAAGCTCAGTCATCAGACTCAGATATGCTTTACTCACAACGGCTGGAGTTAGTTCACGCAGAACGCCATTGGCTACTCCGGTCCGCCGATCGGTCTCTTCCTAAAATTTTTCATCACCGATAGACATGATCCCAAGGTATTTGAACTTCTCTACCTGCTCCACTGCTTCTCCGTTTATTTGAGGGTGGCAACGGACAAGGGCAAGAGAAAGCACTAGGATTTTCACTTTGGTTGCGTTCGCAACACACGCATGTCTTTCCATGAGTTTTGGAGATCAGTTTCAGAATACTTCAACTTTACGATTTAAAGTCTAGAGACCAGATTACTACAGGTTTATACGAATAATAAATATGCAACTATAAACCCAGCAGAAAACAACTCGTCATCCAAAAAACCTAAGACATCTAAGACAGGCTTGACCTACCCACAGGGGGCTCGCTACCTTGAGATGCTACGTAGTTGCAGATCTCGCTCTGGATTTAAAAGAAAACAAATTAAACCACTTAAACAATTAGAAAAATCTGCTTAAATATATTATTTTTAAACTTTCATCGAAAACTAGTGCCTAATGCAAATTGAAATTTCCTTTGAAGAATACCTATTACCTTGTAGCTTGCATTGTTTGTTTCAGTCTGCTGTTCATCTGAGTTTATTAATTCCCAAACAAGCTGGGAAGCATTCTACACAAGAAAGATATCGTGCCGAAACAGGAGTATGCTGAGATAGTATACATAATAAACTGCTCGTACGGAGAGGGCTACAATGAAGAAATCGATCGAGAGTTGAAGAACTGTATCAGCTAACACGGCTTGTCTGAGTAAAGTGGATGTGATGGAATCTGCCGGTGCACAAATGGGCACAATAACGAACCGTGCCGTTCAATGGGATGCAGCAGCGAGGCCCACAAGGAACCAACCGAAAGAAAAAAAAAGGATTTTGGAAGCAGTCAAGGTGGAACGGACGAGAAACAGGACAGGAAGAAAAATACAAGATCAGTCCAGTCTGGTTTCCATTGTCATATGACAAAATCGCCAATAAATGCATTTCGCTTGAAGTCACACGCGCCTTTCGTTACAAACACGTCAACGAAAGATTGCAAAATTAAATGTATATCCACAACAATCAAATGTATAAAGAACATTCACGATCCTGAAACCGAAACAGAGCTTGTGATCGGAAGAATGGAAGGGCAACTACACCCGGTATGACCATACCCACAGGTGGAATGACACCTTGCGGTGCAAGATCGTTGCGGATCTTGCTCCGGATATAACAGTGGTTGCGCACTCCCCGAATCCGAACTGAACCATATAAATCATTAAATGAAAATCTATTTAAACGAACTAACACTGGTAGACTTTAATTCCAAACCTGTGCCTAGATACCCTTGAAAATTTATTTTGAAAAACTCCTACTACTTTGAAAAGTATTACCACTTTAAATTCACTGTATAAATTTTCTATTTAATTTGCGCGTTTCTGATTTTTAAATATACCTAAAACATAAGATAATTTGATCTTATTCTAGCAGTAAACTTTAAACTAAAAGTTTTCGCTGAAATAGGTACCAGATTATTGAACCCTAAGTGCTACCGTTTCTTTCCTAGGTTCACAAAAGACATTTTGACAACTTTTCAATGTTTGGATTCGAAGGGTGAATGTGAAGTTTTTTTACAATGTGTGGTTTGTTCTCCAACCCATCGTTGAAGACCAATAATTAGCTATGTTAAAAACAGCAGATAGAAAAGAAATCACTGTCCTTAACTGAACAGATAAATGTTTACCTCAAAAATTGCTTAGCTGCCGAAAACTCACTTTGGTATATCTTATTTAAGAATTTTAGCGAGTTTCCAACCTTGCTGCTCATCGTATGACATTCGAAACCTACAGACTTTGAATCACATGCATGTTAAATGAACCTTGTGTTTCTCGATTACCAAAATTAATGCTGCGTCGATGTTTCCAGCTCTACCTAATACTTCCTGACAATCTCTCCCAGTTTCGAGGAGTGCTCAGTTGCCGTTCTATGCTGATAATGGGTCCATAGATGCAATTAGTTAAAAGCGTGGTTGGCTGTTAATTTGGACAACGGGGGAAGAAAGCTGCATACTTTTCGAATGCCCTCTCGGCCTACAATTTGAACGTGTCCTTTGGGGGACCATGTGAAGTACGATGCAGTATTATTAACGTCAGTTCCTACCAGTACCAGCCATGCACGCATGGGCAAGGAATAAGTGTCACGACCTAACTAGTTTTCGGTGTCTTGCAAAAGGACAGTGAGTGACGGTCACTCACAGCATTTGCACGCTCGGAAACTGTTAGTTCGTTCGCTACATTGTCTGCCACGCAACGGGTTGGAATAAGGTACCAGGTGAATGAGGTGTTGCGATGGCAACAGACCCACAAAATCCACTCTCCCCGACCGGTGGTC